ATACAAACATGCTGAGGACAATTTTGGCCACGGTTTCCATCCTGTAGACAAGAATGTGGTGCTGTGGACCTATTCTGCCACGGAATCACACTGGATACAAGAATGCGGTACTGGGGACATATTTGGCCACGGTATCCATCCGAGAGACACGAATGCGGCGCTGGGGACCTATTTTGCCACGGAATCCGTACAAGGAAACAAGCATGAGGTGGGGTACTAATTTGTCCGGGAATCTCTACGAGGAGACATGCATGCTGTGCTGGGAACCTATTTTGCCACGGAATCCGTAAAGGGGGCAAGCACGATGTAAGGTCCTATTTTGTAACGAAATCCCTTCGAGGAGACATGCATGCAGTGCTGGGAACCTATTTTACCACGGATTCCGTACAAGGAGACAAGCATGAGGTGGGGTCCTGTTTTGTCACGGAATCTCTACGAGGAGACAAGCATGAGGTTGGGTCCTGTTTTGTCACGGAATCTCTACGAGGAGACAAGCATGAGGTGGGGTCCTATTTTGTAACGGAATCCCTTCGAGGAGACATGCATGCAGTGCTGGGAACCTATTTTACCACGGAATCCGTAAAAGGAGACAAGCATGAGGTGGGGGTCCTGTTTTGTCAAGGAATCCCTACGAGGTGACAAGTATGCGGTGCTAGGACCTATTATTGAAAGGGAATCCCCATGGGGATATAAGAATGATGTGAGGTCCTATTTTGAAACGGAATCCCTTCGAGGAGACATGCATGCAGTGCTGGGAACCTATTTTACCACGAAATCTCTACGAGGAGACAAACATGAGGTGGGGTCCTGTTTTGTCACGGAACCTCTACGAGGAGACAAGCATGAGGTGGGGTCCTGTTTTGTAACGGAATCCCTTCGAGGAGACATGCATACAGTGCTGGGAACCTATTTTACCAAGGAATCTCTACGAGGAGACAAGCATGAGGTTGGGTCCTATTTTGTAACGGAATCCCTTCGAGGAGACATTCATGCAGTGCTGGGAACCTATTTTACCACGGAATCCGTACAAGGAGACAAGCATGAGGTGGGGTCCTGTTTTGTCCCGGAATCTCTACGAGGAGACAAGCATGAGGTGGGGTCCTGTTTTGTCCCGGAATCTCTACGAGGAGACAAGCATGAGGTGGGGTCCTATTTTGTCACGCAATCCCTACGAGGTGACAAGTATGCGGTGCTAGGACCTATTATTGAAAGGGAATCCCCTTGGGCATATAAGAATGATGTGAGGTCCTATTTTGTCACGGAATCCATTCGAGGAGACATGCATGCAGTGCTGCGAACCTATTTTACCACGGAATCCGTACAAGGAGACAAACATGAGGTGGGGTCCTGTATTGTCACGGAATCTCTACGAGGAGACAAGCATGAGGTGGGGTCCTGTTTTGTCCCGGAATCTCTACGAGGAGACAAGCATGAGGTGGGGTCCTGTTTTGTCACGGAATCTCTACGAGGAGACAAGCATGAGTTGGGGTCCTATTTTGTAACGGAATCCCTTTGAGGAGACATGCATGCAGTGCTGGGAACCTATTTTACCACGGAATCCGTACAAGGAGACAAGCATGAGGTGGGTCCTGTTTTGTCAAGGAATCTCTACGAGGAGACAAGCATGAGGTGGGGGTCCTGTTTTGTCCCGGAATCTCTACGAGGAGACAAGCATGAGGTGGGGTCCTGTTTTGTCACGCAATCCCTGCGAGGTGACAAGTATGCGGTGCTAGGACCTATTATTGAAAGGGAATCCCCTTGGGCATATAAGAATGATGTGAGGTCCTGTTTTGTCACGGAATCTCTACGAGGAGACAAGCATGAGGTGGAGTCCTATTTTGTAACGGAATCCCTTCGAGGAGACATGCATGCAGTGCTGGGAACCTATTTTACCACGGAATCCGTACAGGGAGACAAGGATGAGCTGGAGTCCTGTTTTGTCACGGAATCTCTACGAGGAGACAAGCATGAGGTGGGGTCCTGTTTTGTCACGGAATCTCTACGAGGAGACAAGCATGAGGTTGGGTCCTGTTTTGTCACGGAATCTCTACGAGGAGACAAGCATGAGGTGGGGTCCTATTTTGTAACGGAATCCCTTCGAGGAGACATGCATGCAGTGCTGGGAACCTATTTTACCACGGAATCCGTACAAGGAGACAAGCACGATGTAAGGTCCTATTTTGTAACGAAATCCCTTCGAGGAGACATGCATGCAGTGCTGGGAACCTATTTTACCACGGATTCCGTACAAGGAGACAAGCATGAGGTGGGGGTCCTGTTTTGTCCCGGAATCTCTACGAGGAGACAAGCATGAGGTTGGGTCCTGTTTTGTCACGGAATCTCTACGAGGAGACAAGCATGAGGTGGGGTCCTATTTTGTAACGGAATCCCTTCGAGGAGACATGCATGCAGTGCTGGGAACCTATTTTACCACGGAATCCGTAAAAGGAGACAAGCATGAGGTGGGGGTCCTGTTTTGTCAAGGAATCCCTACGAGGTGACAAGTATGCGGTGCTAGGACCTATTATTGAAAGGGAATCCCCATGGGGATATAAGAATGATGTGAGGTCCTATTTTGAAACGGAATCCCTTCGAGGAGACATGCATGCAGTGCTGGGAACCTATTTTACCACGAAATCTCTACGAGGAGACAAGCATGAGGTGGGGTCCTGTTTTGTCACGGAACCTCTACGAGGAGACAAGCATGAGGTGGGGTCCTGTTTTGTAACGGAATCCCTTCGAGGAGAAATGCATACAGTGCTGGGAACCTATTTTACCAAGGAATCTCTACGAGGAGACAAGCATGAGGTTGGGTCCTATTTTGTAACGGAATCCCTTCGAGGAGACATTCATGCAGTGCTGGGAACCTATTTTACCACGGAATCCGTACAAGGAGACAAGCATGAGGTGGGGTCCTGTTTTGTCCCGGAATCTCTACGAGGAGACAAGCATGAGGTGGGGTCCTGTTTTGTCCCGGAATCTCTACGAGGAGACAAGCATGAGGTGGGGTCCTGTTTTGTCACGCAATCCCTACGAGGTGACAAGTATGCGGTGCTAGGACCTATTATTGAAAGGGAATCCCCTTGGGCATATAAGAATGATGTGAGGTCCTATTTTGTCACGGAATCCCTTCGAGGAGACATGCATGCAGTGCTGCGAACCTATTTTACCACGGAATCCGTACAAGGAGACAAACATGAGGTGGGGTCCTGTATTGTCACGGAATCTCTACGAGGAGACAAGCATGAGGTGGGGTCCTGTTTTGTCCCGGAATCTCTACGAGGAGACAAGCATGAGGTGGGGTCCTGTTTTGTCACGGAATCTCTACGAGGAGACAAGCATGAGGTGGGGTCCTATTTTGTAACTGAATCCCTTTGAGGAGACATGCATGCAGTGCTGGGAACCTATTTTACCACGGAATCCGTACAAGGAGACAAGCATGAGGTGGGTCCTGTTTTGTCAAGGAATCTCTACGAGGAGACAAGCATGAGGTGGGGGTCCTGTTTTGTCCCGGAATCTCTACGAGGAGACAAGCATGAGGTGGGGTCCTGTTTTGTCACGCAATCCCTGCGAGGTGACAAGTATGCGGTGCTAGGACCTATTATTGAAAGGGAATCCCCTTGGGCATATAAGAATGATGTGAGGTCCTGTTTTGTCACGGAATCTCTACGAGGAGACAAGCATGAGGTGGAGTCCTATTTTGTAACGGAATCCCTTCGAGGAGACATGCATGCAGTGCTGGGAACCTATTTTACCACGGAATCCGTACAGGGAGACAAGGATGAGCTGGAGTCCTGTTTTGTCACGGAATCTCTACGAGGAGACAAGCATGAGGTGGGGTCCTGTTTTGTCACGGAATCTCTACGAGGAGACAAGCATGAGGTTGGGTCCTGTTTTGTCACGGAATCTCTACGAGGAGACAAGCATGAGGTGGGGTGCTGTTTTGTCACGGAATCCCTTCGAGGAGACCTGCATGCAGTGCTGGGAACCTATTTTACCACGGAATCCGTACAAGGGGACAAGCATGAGGACGGGTCCTGTTTTGTCACGCAATCCCTACGAGGTGACAAGTATGCGGTGCTAGGACCTATTATTGAAAGGGAATCCCCTTGGGGATATAAGAATGATGTGAGGTCCTATTTTGTAACGGAATCCCTTCGAGGAGACATGCATGCAGTGCTGGGAACCTATTTTACCACGGAATCCGTACAAGGAGACAAGCATGAGGTGGGGGTCCTGTTTTGTCACGGAATCTCTACGAGGAGACAAGCATGAGGTTGGGTCCTGTTTTGTCACGGAATCTCTACGAGGAGACAAACATGAGGTGGGGTCCTATTTTGTCACGGAATCTCTACGAGGAGACAAGCATGAGGTGGGGTCCTATTTTGTAACGGAATCCCTTCGAGGAGACATGCATGCTGTGCTGGGAACCTATTTTACCACGGAATCCGTACACGGAGACAAGCTTGAGGTGGGGTCCTGTTTCGTCATTCAAACTCTATAAGGAGACATGCATGCAGTGCTGGTGATCTATTTTGTCACGGAATCTCTTCGAGCAGACATGCATGCTGTGCTGGGAACCAAGTTTGTCAGGAAATCCCTACGAGGAGACAAGCATGAGTTTAGGTCCTAATTTTCCACGAAATCGCTTCGAGGAGACGAACTCGGGTGCTTGGGACATAATCCGCCACGGAATGTTCATAAGGCATTAATACATACCTCAATATCTCTGAATGAACATGATAAACGGGTAACACGTAAAAATGTTGCATAGAAAAGATAATATCACTTGATAACAAGCATTTATAGGTCACATATGGAAATGTAATATAAAATAAGGAAAACGTATAACGTGGAAAATTGATAACAGAATACGCGGAAAACACACGTCCTACAGAAGGTGAAAAAACAAGTCAAATGTCATTGGTTGATCATATGTTTGATAACCATATTTGGTATAATTTATATTGGTAATAAATATTTTGTAGTAGTCAGTATATACACACGACAGGACAGCCAGGAGTGGAGCTGACATCCAGAAGTTATACGTGAGTAACATTGTTACTCCTCTATCGGCAATGTTACTGCTATATCACAGTTGTCTGAAGATCAGTCAGTCTTGGTCTCGGATTAATACAGTTTGCACATCGGTTTTCCGATTCATACCTCGATGAACCGAAAAAAATACACAGTCAATCCTTGTAAAGACTTGATTATACTTACCACCGTCAACATTTCATTTAGGAATTCGAATGTAAACATGATGTTGTGGTTCTCTATTCATTCTCTATTCTATTGCTATGGTGGTACGTTGATTTATATTATAACAATCTATTGTTATATAGTGCTTGAATTCATAGTTCTGTTATGGAAATGTTCTTCATATTATTATATATCATCAGGGCTCCAAGCTGAAAGGCTGTATAGCCATATTGTAATCTTCGATTTATTATTATTATTATCCTTATAAAGTATTATCTATTATTCCGCCGAGTTTTTGTACCAGACCTAGCAAAATTACCACTGGTTCGATTTTTTCAAATTTCGCATGTGTATGTAGACGATGAATACTAGTGCCCGCCAAAATCCCAAGGTCGTAGGCCCAATGACCAAGGGTAGATAACGGAAAAACAAGTACTTTTTGAGGATATCTTTCGCCCTATTGCTCCCCAACCGCTTGTTCGATTACTTTCAAACCTTGCATGTATCTTCTGCTTGAGTTGCTTGAAATGTTTTGTTCTTTGACTTTGGTTATTGGTCACGTGATTTGCAGCCATATTAGATTCACATTTTTCACAGTGTCTTCAAGCAACTCCGAGTCCACGGCATGAAATGCTTTCAAACTTTCTGAGAATTGTCTCTATACATAACACATCAAACATTGTTAGCCGATTTTGGATATCTGTTTGGGTTATTGGATTTTTTATTTTAATCATTTGTTTCACCGAAATTTTTCTTTAAAGATCATATCTTGTAAGGTTCTTCACAGAACTATTGAAAGGTAGCAAATTTCGTAGCTGTGACGTCCTGCAAACGGAGTTTGACGGCGTTGGTACAAGCAAACCCTTTTATGATTCGAACATGAGGATTCGAGGTCGGAGATTGGTTTAGAACACCCTTGGACACCCCGGCACATGCAAATGTCGTAACGGCGATGTCCGCAAGCGGTGCTTACATTTCATAGCGTTAGCACAAGCAAGCCCGAACATGGACATTTGTGCGCAGTGTTACTTGGAGCCCGCCATTGCTGCATGATGATGATGATGATGATGATTATCAGAAGGGTTAGTTTGGTTTTGACGAAAATTTTTAAATGAAATGAGATCTAGTTAATCTGGACATGTTTTAACCAGTCGTCTGTCACATTCTGTGTTTCGTAATGTAAAAGAGCTAAAATTGTTTAGGGGAAATATATCGCCTTTCGTTAAAGTTAACCGGTCTATGTGTTGTTGAGCAATTACCTCTTTCAGCTATAGGCGTAGTATCGAGCTTTATCACGCACTTACCTTGCAATGTTGTACATCGTTTCTTTTTCAAGCTGCATCATTGAGAGTGAGTGCATATGTAGCGCGCACTCAGTCGTTCTCCTTTCACACTGTTATTGCAACTTATTGTTCAATACGATTATATACCAGGTTTCTATAAATTATGACTTTGTTCAATAGACAACACATGTAAAACAACGTGTTTGATACTAGAAATCTGTAATTAGTTGTCTTCATAATCACATGTATGGCGCTTGCTGTGCATGGTTGATCACTGTATTGTTTCAAGTAGTTCACTGTGTGTAATGTGTGATGATTCATTCCGTTTCAAACGGCTTACGGCACTGCATGGTTTATTGTTTTAACAGTTTTTCTTAACTTCCGGCAGAGATTATACACTCGTACATGTTCTTTGCTTTTGGATACATAGGCAATCAATAAGTTTGTCTGTAGTTTGCAATTATTTTCCAAAAGGATAATACGATTGCATGATGTAGTCACATTCTTCTAAACATACTTCAATTCTAAACCGGAAGTAAAAACACAAACCCAGTTAAACAAAACGGAATCGTACACAGGAGTAATGAGTGAGTGAGTAAGTTGGGTTTAACACAGCTTTGCATAGCGGGTTGCGGCCACTTAGGCTATTGGGCCAACCGTGCCACCGTACACAACTGTAACAAACTATCATACCACAAAGATGTTTTAGATGAGATTTGTATTGCTTAACATTCCATGAAGAAACAGTGGCACTATTCCACTATCACATCCTACAAAATAGATGTAAAATAAGTGCAAAACATACAGGTACATTCAACATACAAAGGAGGTACATTATAACAATTTTATTTTAAAACAAGTGTATTGTAGTGATATGGAAACAATGTGAGAATTGAACAACACTACTGTTATGTTGTACATACAAGGAATTTGTTTATAATTATAGATATGATAACAGATCTTGGAAATTGTTTCTGGATAACTGTTTTAAAAAAAATATTAAGAATGGTTCTTTTTAACAGAGTGTACCAAATTCCTTATAATGATTGAGGATTATTTGTGATTCTCTTCTTGGTTGTATTTTATACAAGACAGTGCATAGTGTTGCTCATTTTCTAAGACATCACATGTTTCACATGTTGTTCCAATGGGGTTGGTGTTTTTGTATGTCCACCAGTTTCAATTTTTAGTTGATAAAAGTGACCTATGTGCTTTGTTTTAAAATATGTTAGATAATTCTTAATATCTATAGATGTCTTGACCTACATGTATGTTCTTAACTTGCTTTTGGGTAAATAGGAATCCCTTAATGAATGCGTGAACATATTTTTACATTTGGACTGATTTTTTTCCACCGTGATATTGTTTGAATATTGCTAAAAGCGGCGTAAAACCATACTCACACACTTTTTCCTCTGCGTATGACATAATATGGCGGGGAACAATTGATGCACTGCAGCAATCTCTACTTGATATTTACCGGTTTAAAAAAGGGCAGCAAAGAGGGTGTGGGTGATCCTGGCACAGTCAGGTTGGTTAGGCTCATCGTCAGCTCAGGGCCCTTGCCCCTTCCACACGCAGCCCAGACATCGAAAAGGACTTCTCCCAGGAAGCGGTACCAAACTTAAGGCACCAAGAACAATGAGGACAACTTGGTACTTGGGATGAACGCGTGACATTTCAAAAGCGAGGTCTGCAATATTTGCCATGATTTTCCTGAATCTTGCCAATCACATTAGTGTCAAAAGGAACAATAAATTCAGGAATAGAAATGATTTAATTTGATTTATTAAAAAGGACAAGAACAGGTTTGTTAGTCTGGATACGCCTTAGGCTGTATGTGGGCCTATTTCAAAGAATTTTGTATTTATCATTTACCATGACGCCCTCTACATATTCTTGGTCGTACCACAGATGGACCTTTGTGTCAAAAAACACAAGCATGGAGAAGACGGCAATAAAATGATCGCGCCACTTCATCATGTCGTTTATGATACTGTGTTTGTGCTAAGGCTGAGCATCCATTGACAATGTGTTGGACAGCTTCATTAAATTCATTGCATAATCTACGGTGGCCCATAAGGGACATGGAGTCAGTTTTTCAATATTTTGATATTTCACTTACTGTTATCGTAACCTTTTGCAAATTAACACGATTTGTCATACACATATGTGATAAATCATGTATAATGAAGATATTGAATCGCTGAAAAGTGAAGCGAAAATGTGAAAACTAAAATGAAAATGTCAATAACAAAAACGAAAATGTCAAAAACTAAAATGAAAATGCCAAAAACTAAAATTAAAATACAGAAAACTATTTACACCGCGGTGATAATATTTATGCCGCAGTGGAAATAGTTTTCTGTACTTTCATTTTAGTTTTTGACATTTTCGCTTCACATTTCAACATTCAATAGCTACTTGAAAGTACTTTTTCCTTGTTTTCGGTTGTTTTTATACATCATTTAACACATATTTGTATGACAAATTGTGTTAATTTGCAAAAGGTTCCGATGTGTGTTAGTGAAATATCAAAATATTGAAAAACAGATTCCATGTCCTTTATGGGCCACCGTACATAATCTACATTTCATATTTACATTTTGATGCAAAATCCCACATTGAAAGATTCGTGTGTGAAGTGACGGGTCTTGAGCAGCAAACAGAAAGCCTTCTGTTTCACTTTTCAGGCCAGGCGACTTTATCCAAGCGAAGGACTCTGCAGGGTTGCTGATTTTCTCAACAGACAACACATAAACGCGATGCAGTGGTCGTTCAAATAGCCTGTCCCTGAAAAAAGTCTTGGCCGATTTGATATGGCACTTCGCTTGGTTGACACTCATTTCTGTACCGTCCAGTAGTACAGAAACATCAACATAATTAACATTGGCATTGATATTATGTCCCACATCCTTGGCTCGTTTAAGAAAACTGTGGAATGCCTTGTTTTCACAATGAGTCTTGACACGCATCACATGAGAATCATCAGACAAATAAACGTGTACAGAAGTGCACAATACAATTCTATCACGAAAAGCCTACACATTAATTAAACCATGTCCATTATAATTGGTAAATATGAGCTATTGAACTAAGAGCAGGGTTGGTGGGATCTGTTGTCTGACGTGATTCTTCGTGTGAATACCCTGACAGGATTATTTTTTATGTAGATACTATTTCATTTATTTCAAACAAAATCCATTTTTTTTCTCAGTTGAATACACATCATGTAAGTTTTGCCAAATGCCGAATCTTTTATGTCAAAGAACATATCATGGAATGGGCGATCTTTTTCAATTTATCTTCCCTTCACTAACCCGCTAGGTGCGCTGACCCGGACGGTCCAACCTTAAACTGACGGCGCATGTGGTATGCGCAATACGAGCACTACATGTTACTATGACGTCTATAGACAGTTAACTAGTACAACCTTCACCTCTGTCGGCAACGGTCACACTTGTGTGCGGACAGTATATCTTTTCGCCTAAACAATTATTTATTGATTGCCATGTCCGGAAATATATGTTCCTTGATATAATTATACATCAGGGATGACCACGACTGATTATATTGTATAGTTAACCACTAGATAGGCGTTTGAAGCGATGCGGTGAAATCAGCTGATCGTTCCTCCCAGGTCGCTTTGTTGACGTTTTGCAATCGGTACTGGAAGTGTTGCCCTTGATGTATGATTATGAAAATTAAGTAGATTTTGTATACGTTCCTATATCTATGTTGTAGCATCGCCGAGCAGGCCACATCATATGCATGCATTTCATTATGTTAAACTGTGAGGCGATACGTTACGCGAAATGTGAAGGTCTCATGCAACGTTGCCCGTAGGCTCAATGTTGTGAATATTGACAGCAACACATGTAAGTATTTGTCAGATATATAACTGAGAGCAATGAGAAATATTCTCAAGAAATTGTAAGAGTAACAGGCACTGTAAAATTACGTCATCAACTAGATATCATGATACAATCTTCAAAATAAAAGAAATGGAAATCACTGAAATCTGTTTTGATATTTAAGGGTTAAATGGTGCATGTTGTATACAAGGATTTTATGTGTATGAATGGTAGCTGTTTGTTGCCAAATACTACCATGATTATATTTCAATATGATCAATGAAAGATATATATTATTTTGGCCTTTTTTACAAAGCAGAAAAAAACCAATTCAGACACAGGGGACCCTATAAATTAGTTAAAATACATATTCAAGAGTATTTGTACCAACTACAATTTTTATAAAATAAAACAATATATTCATACTAATTGCCAATCTCTATAATGTTGTTTGTGTATTAACAATGCAGTGTCTACATCCAGTTTGCATTGACAATAATCATATGATTGTGACACAGATAAAGCTGATTCTTAACTTCATTAGGCCTTGCTTTTTTATGTTTCCTTGTTCTAAACTGATGTTTCAAATTCCAACAAACAAATTATTAATGTTTTTCTTTTTTCACTTCACACCAAAAGATATCTGCATTGCACAATGACTCTTATTATTTTATTTAATATCTTGGCACACTTGTGCATGTGTACTAGTATTGGGACTCTGGTATTCTTTCAGGTTTGGAGAATCAATCAATTCATTGTGAAAACATTTTTAATTTCTTACATAAGTTACTTTGATCTTGATAAGATCAAACTAGTTCCAAATTAATTTGAGAAGATTAAATTATGCAGTCTATACATTTCAGCCAGTCTGTCTAAAATACGGTCCTATTTTTAGTCAATAATAAATGAATGAAAATTTAAGAAAAAATATACCTTACCTGAGTGAATCAGTCAATATGCATATTGACTGAAATGTTCAGTCAAAATACATATTGGGCCTGATTATAGACACTGACTGTAAAATATGTAAGTATAATCTGTTATATGCAAAAACAAATAACATAAATAAATCCATTTATCTACATGGAATGACTGTGGGGTTCAATTTCCATTTATTTAACTATCAGATTTGATGATAAACTTTCATATTCATATTTTCATATAAAATTCATATTTGCTATATGATAATAATAACTACAAAATATACTTTAAAATACAGGTGTCTTGAAGAACTGTTGAATGAAAATCAGGATACTTAGATACAGCAGGATAGTGTGTGGGTTTGTATGGGAAATTTGTCAACATTAAAAAAAATATAATGTTACTAAAACAAGAAGATAAAACTTTGATTTAGATCTATTTATGCATCATACACATTTTGTGGGGTATTCAGTATGATTTGTTGTTTGTTGGGACACATCTCTGTATTTTAAGAGCATGAGTATCAGAATTCTGTAAGAAATGATGGATCAATGAATTAACACCTGTGATGACTCAGAGCACTTAATGGTGGGACACATGTTGTAAGGGGCAGAATAATATGGGTAAATCTCTTATTTCAAAGTATGATGACTAGTATGCATATTGCAACTGAGTAACTGAGTGCTTAATAGCTGCATGGTAGATGTTCATTAGGCCTATTTCTACAAAAATAATATAAATTTAAATATTCAGATGCAACTTTAACTTTGATATAAAAAAAGTAACGTTTAAAATCAGTTGTTTTATTATTTTGAACGTTATTTCTTCTTAAAATATTTGTAAAGGCACGGATGTATACTTACTATATAGATCATTGGTAAAGGCCTGTCAAAGATGTCTGTGTGCTGCAAATGTTGGCGTATCACTAATTTTATTAAATTGAAGTTCGTGGTAGTATTTGTTGAGATTTGAATGCTTGAATTGTTGTAGGAAATAACACAAAGGCTGATAAATAAAATGAGTTTGCATTATTTCATCGATGCAATATGTTAGCCCAGACTGACAGAATGCCTCGCTGTTTTCTGACGTAGAAAATACCGTGACAATATACCATTTTTCATGACGTTTTCCCCGCTATATTCCAAAGTGACAATTCGTCTTGTAGTTGAAGACTCAACAAATGTTGATAATATAAACTAATAATCACTACAAAATATGTGCTAGTTAAAAATATTCAGTTGTAAACGACCGTTTTTGAACGAAGGTGCAACAGGATAACTCTTTAGCTTGGCTCCGTCTCTACATGTCAGTCGTTGTCGCAGCGCGCATTGATCCGGGAACCAGACCGGAAGCGACAGGTTGGACCGTCGCTTATATCATTTCAAAAGGAGAGTTATCGTCCTTTGGAACAAAAAGATCGCCCATTTGATAAGACTTCTGTCCTACCCAACACACCCGAGGTCTATCTGTCCTACCCAACACACCCGAGGTCTATCTGTCCTACCCAACACATACGAGGTGTATCTGTCCTACCCAACACACCCGAGGTGTATCTGTCCTACCCAACACACCCGAGGTGTATCTGTCCTACCCAACACACCCGAGGTGTATCTGTCCTACCCAAAACACCCGAGGTGTATCTGTCCTACCCAACACACCCGAGGTGTATCTGTCCTACCCAACACACCCGAGGTGTCTCTGTCCTCCCCAACACATACGAGGTGTATCTGTCCTACCCAACACATACGAGGTGTATCTGTCCTACCCAACACATACGAGGTGTATCTGTCCTACCCAACACACCCGAGGTCTATCTGTCCTACCCAACACACCCGAGGTGTATCTGTCCTACCCAACACACCCGAGGTCTTTCTGTCCTAACCAACACACCCGAGGTGTATCTGTCCCACCCAACACACCCGAGGTCTTTCTACACGCATCAAGACCTCGTTCTCTCACCTTAACCTTTACTACGTAACGGCTGTCTGTTGAGAAATATACTCGTGTGTTGACCAGACAAACCAGTGATTAGTATTTTTATCATGAGCAACCATTCACGCAGTCGGAGTACAATGACACGTTGTGTTTTCAACCATGTCACCGATGTCGCCTGTTTTGACAAGTATAGTTTACTTGGGACCAATTCTAACACAGAATACCGCCGGGATGCGAAGTCAACAAAAGTTGCAAATGCTTCGATTAAGCTGAGCGTCTTGGTAGGATTTGTCGTTTGTATTCTCGGGAAGACCTTAAAAGTTGATCGCTGAAATGTTCATGGTGCCTACGATTAAATATCCAAACAATACACTGCATTTGTGTCCGGCAACCGTGCCAAACAGGAATAGTACCGCCGCTGTCAATGCTAATGGTTGTCATACCTGATACTGACTTGTGAACTGACAATTGCCCCATGCCCCTTTCAGTCGGAGATGACGTTGAGTGAGTATGGTTTTACGCCGCTTTTAGCAATATTCCAGCAATATCAGGGCGGGGGACACCAGAAATGGACTTCATACATTGTACCCATGTCGGGAATCGAACCCGGGTCTTCGGCGTGGCGAGCAAACGCTTTAACCACTAGGCTACCCGACCGCCCCTGAGATGACGTTGGGAGAGGACATGTGTGGACACTGTCATGATGACTTCATGTTTCATGGACATCAATATATTGTCCTCTTGCTATTTCAATCTGTGTTTGCCCTTTTTTTCTGTGATATGAAACCTCTAGTGTTATGAACAAGTAAACTGAGTGAGTTGGGTTACACGCCGCTTTGAAGAGTATTCCAATTACAACACGGCGTATCCAATTAATGTGGCAGAAAGCCCGAAGTGAATGCAGGTTTCAGACGTTTAGCACTTTGGTGAAACCCAAGAGAACTGGTATGGTGCTGACAACATAATCTGGGCGACCCGGGATTCGAAGCCACAATCATAGGTTTCTGGCGAGCCCAAGGGACGCAACTCTGCCACCCGTGCCCCCTTGTTATCCCAAAGCATTCGGCGTTGATTATACTATCCATAATGTTATAATGTATGCATATTATCTTGTTACATCCATGTTTGCTTCTTGTTCAACATGTTCAACTCTGCTCCGAGCAAATATTCCATCTAAATGACGATGACCTGTACCGAGTATGGACCAGACAATACAGTGATTGATGTGATGTCATATATAACCCAATTAGCGTTTGTGCGCAATCAAACTTTATGATGTAAAGTGAAACCTTGTTAATCAGGATTAACCTTCCCGGTGAAATCGTCCGGACTAACACATTTCCGGGTTAATAAATCTTGGGTATGAAGTAATGATATACACTCCCAGGAGAAATCATCCAAAAACCGCAGTTTCCGAATAAACGGGTTCTGGATTAACGGGGTTTCACTGTATACCAATCAAGCAGTTAACTATTACCTTCATTTTACAGAGGTAGACACAAGGCACAAATTACATCTTACAACTTGAGACAGTGTAGAAAAGTTTTATTTTAAGCGAAATAATTAGAGTGAAATACATAATACAGTACTTGAACGCAAAATTGAAGATTTACTTTCTCACTGACGTCGAAATTTGGTGTCCTTAGTTTTAATTAAATTTGATATTTTAAATATCCTTTACAGAGACTCCCTATCTCCAACAACCATGGGTCAAGTTCAAAGTGCAGCTGAGACTCAAGCTGAAGCTCAATGTTCAAAGAAGACCATTAAAGCATATAGAGAGTTGTTAATGGGTCTAAGAATTCGCAGCATGATAGGGTCTTATATGATGTACGACCAGTCAGACAAATACAGTACCTTGGCGTCCTGGATGCTCATAGCAGCTAGTGGAATAATGGGCGTGGCTGCAGGAGGTTTATCCCAGTACATCCCTATAGGGAAGGGAAGGATCTCTTTGATATCTAAGATAGCCATAGGGATGATCACTGGCTCAAGCGGCACCTTCAAAGCTGGCAGCATGCTTCTTCATGAAAAGTTTGAGGAGAAGCAGAAGCTTTTCAACAAGACAGGCGCCGGATGGCAGGAACTAGAGTTGAAGATCCGTCACTTCCTTGATACTACTGAGGACACAGAAAACATAGATAAGTACGAACAATTCACAAAGGACTGTATAAAACAACGGGGAGATATATGCCGTCTGTCAAAACCAGAGAGGGGCATCTACAAAAAGTTCAATGCAGGTTCGCCCAGTATCGTAATGGAGCGATATAAGAAAAAGAGAGATGTCGTCGCAGGTATTCGAGATGAACTTGAAAAGGAGGAATCCTCCTCCGAAGAACTTGGAGATGACTGACTTTTGCAACAAATGCTTTCCCCGCTGTTTTTTACTACTTTATGCTTTGAAGGCAACTGATGTACCTGCACGTCAGTAAGACAAGAGTAAATCTCAATCTTTTTGTTTCTTTTTTATTCGCATATTATCTGTGACGGCATGTTGTGTGTCCTTGTAATGTAATGTAATTAATCCAGACATAAGAATGATAGATATTAAGGGTAATACCTAGCCACTCTATCCAAATTTCTCGCCTCTTACGGCAAGCAGCAGTGTGATGTGGTCTAATGCTAACCCTGAATATTATGAATTTGAGTCAAAGGCCAATAAGAAACTAAAATAGAACTGTGAATACAAAAACTTGTCAAAGCCGAACAAATATGACGATAATGTAACTCTAAAATCTTAGCTTCTTGAAAATTCGCATAACTTTTAATTGTCATATATTTGTGGACGTTCTCCCCGTAATGTCTGTTTACAGTCCCATTATAACGTTCTTTCGAAAGTCGGATAACCATCCTGTTGGTATAACATAGTTATTTCCCATGTCATGTACATAAATAAAACTCGGGGATAAACAAACGTTGTTACAGATCTCCACAAGATTGTATGCCGGGGGATGGGGATGGGCGGCTTCAACTTTCCAATATTTAACATTCCCTTTATGTCGAGCGATATTCTATCAGTTACAGCCTTTGGTGTCTACATTTCACACCTTTTTGAGGTATAATAGAACATGCTCTTTCTACGAAGCTTTCAAAAAGCGTCATACGACGGAAGATATTTCAAAACTTGACGCATCAGTGACCACAAGGATGTCCGGTGCAATTCACTATATTGACTTGTACCATGTGTTCCATGTATTGTTTTGTTTATCCGATAAACAATTGACTTGCATGTGCATGTATTTGTGACGAGTGCAATCGGTGGGGCAGAATATGTTCACCTAGTACAGCACTATTTGATAGTGATTAATAAACTATAAAAGTCAAAGCCAGCGAATAATCAGTCTCAATTATCCGCCGAACAGATTCCTTTGAGCACCGATACTGACTTGTGAACTGACAATTGTCCCACGCCACTTTCAAGCTGAGATGACGTCAGGCAAAAGGCAAAATAGTGGCGGAAAAATTATGTAAATAGATCACTGAAAATCAATGACACCATGTGTTCGCGAAAAAGGTAAGCATGTCCTGCTCTACCGATATCACCCGCCACTCACAGAATTTGCATTAGAAAAGTAAGTGAAACAATTTACCGTTCTATTGGATGACGTAATGGTAGACGCCAGGGTCACATAGATAGCCTTTTAGTCGAGTGGTTAAAACTTAAGTACAACGTGTGAAGCCTAAATCTGGTGTCACCCGTTTTAGTTTTGCTGGAAAATTGCTAACGGTGGCATTAAACAACACTCAATCACCCAGTGTTCGCTCAAAAGGGTTAACATATCCTGCTGTAGTGGTAGAATCCGCCACACACACAATTTGCATAAAAAAGTAAAAATATTAAAAACAATATTCATGATATAGTCAGAATCACACACTGGACTATGCTACTAGCAAAGATAATCATTTCTTATGAATATGGAAATGGTTTTGTCGCTTTTATGTATGTAGTTATCTTTTATTATAAACCTGACATTTTCATTGTTGTATCGATCACAAATGCTTTTTAACGTTTAATGTTACTTTTCAAACATGTAATATAATTGAACTATTGTTAAAGTGAGCGCGGATTCCACCAACAATGTTATTTGGATCATTTAGATAGATCATATAGATTATGTATTTTCATTTAGTGTGCAAACATGGTGTGGGTTTTTTATTATTGATGTACGTCCTGAAAAAGCTTACTGTCGCTTTCTGATTCTGAAGGTTAACCATTTATAAGATGGAAATGGATCGAACATAAGTTTTGCAATTTGTCTACAAAATGTCATGCATTATGGGATATATTTTGTGCGTAGTGCTTATCTTAATATTTATATGCTTTATAATAAACTTGTAGTTATTTAATATGCCTGGAAATAAAATCAATTAAATAGCAATATTCCATCATCTTGTTTCCCAAATGTAGATACTATTTCATTTATTTCAAAGACAATCCATCTTTTTTCTGAGTTGAATACACACCATGTAAGTTTTCGGAATTGCCTATTCTTTTGTGTGAAAGAACTCGGGCTCATGTCATAGAATTGGAAAAACATTTTTCGCCATTTTAGAGTGAGATTGTATGGTATTGTATCTTAAAATTGTGTCAAAGATGCTTATGACACTTGAGTTTCTGTGGTTTGCTTGCTTGTTTGTTTGTTTGTTGTTTAACGCCGCACTCAGCAATATTCCAGCTATATGACGGCGGTCTGTAACTATTTGAGTCTGTAACAGACAATCCAGTGATTGACATCATGAGCATCCATCCACGCAATTGGGATACAATGACATGCATCAACCAAGCCAGCGAGCGTGACCAACCGATCCCGTTAATCGCCTCTTACGACAAGCATCGTCGCCTTTTACGGCAACCATTGGTTGCTGAAGACTTATTCTACCCCGGATCTTCGCGGGTTGAGTTTCTATGACGTCCGCCTAACCACAAATGACTCCGACAGGGAGACAAGCATGCACTACTTGGGAAACATTTTGCCACTTACTTCTACAGGGAGACAAGCATGCACTACTGGTGACATATTTTGCTACTTTCTTCTACAGGGAGACAAGCATGCACTACTGGTGACATATTTTGCTACTTACTTCTACAGGGAGACAAGCATGAAGTACTGATGACATATTTTGCCACGGCCTCCAACGGTGAGACAAGCATGCAGTACTATGGACATACTTTGCCCCTGACTCTGACAGGGAGACAAGCATGCAGTACTTGTGACATATTTTGCCACTTTCTTCTACAGGGAGACAAGCATGCAGTACTGGTGACATATTTTGTCACGGCCTCTCACAGTGATACAAGCATGCAGTACTTGTGACATATTTTGCCACGGCTTCCCACAGTGAGACAAGCATGCAGTACTTGTGACATATTTTGCCACTTACTTCTACAGGGAGACAAGCATGCAGTACTGGTGACATATTTTGCTACTTTCTTCTACAGGGAGACAAGCATGCACTACTGGGGACATAATTTGCCGCGGCTTCCCACAGTGAGATAAGCATGTAGTACTGGGGACATATTTTGCCACGGCCTCTCACAATGATACAAGCATGCAGTACTGATGACATATTTTGTCACTTTCTTCTCCAAGGAGACAAGCATGAAGTACTGGGGACAAATTTTGCAACTTTCTTCTACAGGGAGACAAGCATGCAGTATTGGTGACATATTTTGCCACTTACTTCTACAGGGAGACACGCCTGCAGTACTGGGGACATATTTTGCCGCTGCTTCCCACAATGATACAAGCATGCAGTGCTGATGACATATTTTGTCACTTTCTTCTCCAAGGAGACAAGCATGAAGTACTGGGGACAAATTTTGCCACTTTCTTCTGCAGGGAGACACGCCTGCAGTACTGGGGACATCTTATGCCACTTACTTCTACAGGAAGACACGCCTGCAGTACTGGGGACATATTTTGTCACGGCTTCCCACAGTGATACAAGCATGCAGTACTGGGAACATATTTGCCACTTACTTCTACAGGGAGACAAGCATGCAGTACTGGGGACATATTTTGTCACGGCTTCCCACAGTGATACAAGCATGCAGTACTGGTGACATATTTTGCAACTTACTTCTACAGGGAGACAAGCATGCAGTACTGGTGACATATTTTGCCACTTACTTCTACAGGGAGACACGCCTGCAGTACTGGGGACATATTTTGTCACGGCATCCCACATTGATACAAGCATGCAGTACTGGTGACATATTTTGTCACTTTCTTCTACAGGGAGACAAGCATGCAGTACTGGGGACATATTTTGCCACGGCCTCTCACAATGATACAAGCATGCAGTACTGATGATATATTTTGTCACTTTCTTCTCCAGGGAGACAAGCATGCAGTACTGGGGACAAATTTTGCCACTTTCTTCTACAGGAAGACAAGCATGCAGTATTCGGGACATATTTTTCCACTTACTTCTACAGGGAGACACGCCTGCAGTACTGGTGACACATTTTGCCACTTACTTCTACAGGGAGACACGCCTGCAGTACTGGGGACATATTTTGCCACTTACTTCTACAGGGAGACAGGCATGCAGTACTGGTGACATATTTTGTCACGGCTTCCAACAGTGATACAAACATGCAGTACTGGTGACATATTTTGCCACTTTCTTCTACAGGGAAAGCATGCAGTACTGGTGACATATTTTGCCACTTACTTCTACAGGGAGACAAGCATGCAGTACTACACTATGTAAACTACCGTTAGGTTGATACCGTTTACTGTTACTCAACGAAACATCGACATCCATACCGACCGCCGCCGCATTCTAGTGGTAGAGCGTCCGCCCGGAGAGCCGAAGGTACATGTAGGTGGTTCAATCCCCGGCCGCATCATATCAAAAGACGTTAAAAAATAATACTTGTTGTTACCCTGCCTGGCTCTCGGCATTAAGGGGCTAAAACAAGGACTGTTCGGCTCGGAGTCGTGTCTGGGAGGGGTATATTCATGTTAACATGGTATCTCAGTGGTCTAGCACTTTAAAATGGGCATTACTCCGGACTGCTGGTAGAAGCAGCCACACAACTACGGTTATAACGAACTCAAAGGGACCACTAAATTTAATTCGTCGTAACCGTAGTTCGCTATAAGCGAATGTACTGAATATATTACAGAAAATAGACGGGACCACAAAAAAGTTCGTTATATCCGTCAGTTCGGTATAAGCGTGTTCGTTATAACCGTACTTTGCTGGGATTGTTTCATTGCATGATAATTCACTGCATTTTCTCCTTCAGACCAGTTACCTCTTCTAAACGAAACTAAATGGCTCAAAACGAAAGAGATGCGAATTTGGAGATGTTAAAAGAATTGAGAATTCGCAGTTTAATTGCTTCTTTCATGATGTACGAGCAATCAGCCAAAAACGGAAGAATCGCTTTTGGGCACTGATGGGAACTAGGGTTCTTATAGGTGCGACTGCCCCTATTCTATTAGCGTTCATCCCCGTTGGTGATGCTGACAACCCATGAGTTTCATTATCTAAGATATTCATAGGAGGGGTCTCTGGATCTGCAACTACATTTCAAACTGGAAGAATCTTTCTTCTTGAATACTTTGAAAAGAAAGAGAAACTAGATAACGAAACAGCGGCAGGTTTGCAGAAGCTTGAGTTGGACATTCGTCTATTTCTAAACTCAATCAACACAACATCGAACAAAAGTTTACGAAAGTTTATAAGTGAATGTATACAGGAACGGCACAATATATGCTCGAAGTCAAAACCAGATGGACATACTTATGAAAAATATTATCTAACGATCGACAAGTATCGGAAAAAGCAGTTACTCATTGCGCACATAGGACAAAGACTTGATTGTGAGGAGGAAGAAGATACGTAACTGGGTTGTTTGGCTTGTTTACCAGTCTCCATCGTAAACTTGTTGTTGTTGTTGTTATTATTATTATTATTATTATCATCATCATCATCATCATCATCATCATCATCATTATTATAAGTTTCTGATTAGTGGGATGTGTAATCAATAAATTAATGTTATTATCGTGATAGGGATCAATAAGCACTATCATCACATAATGGATAGTGTTGTCCAGGCAATAAACCAATTCGTGGTATCACGATCCGATAAACATGCTAATAAGTTCACTAAGCAGGAACTAATTTTAGTAAGCTCTGTACACCGATGTGGGGTTTACTTCCTCCAAAAACTATTGCACAACTTTCCTTGAATCATTTGATAGAAGTTTCCTGTTTGGTGTGTAGAGTCATATTCTCTATGTATTTATCATTTATTTGAAGTATTTCATTAAAATACCACGTACATATCGGATTTCGAAAAAAGCATGGTGCCGTAATGTTTGTCTTTACATTACATGAAAGTGTAAATTTTTATTTATCCAGGAAATCACCCGTCTATTCAGCCTTCCTGGACAATGAAAAGGACTTTGATAGTATTAGCCATGCTGGTCTATCTTAAAAACAACAACTTTATAACGTAGGCATTAAGGGGAAGATACGGCTCTTCTCTATCAAAGTTACAGCATCAGTTGTAGTGCATACGTCAACTACTGTGGTGACACATCACATACGTTTTCTGTTGAGCAGGGTGTCAGGCAAGGACGCATACTTTATTCGTGGCTCTTTCTGTTTATATTAATGATCTAATTTATGAACTAAGAGGAAAGGAATGTGGTGTTTTTTTGTATATGGACTACAATTTCAGTTGTTATGCTCGCTGATGAGACTATATTAGTCAGCGCAATACCCGCAAGTCGCTCTTAACACTGTTACACAGTTTGCATATGACTGGAGATTTCCTTACAATGCCACTAAAAGCCAAATTGTTATATTCAGTAGATTGAATTCCCAACATAATACCTTCCCATTTCATCTTGGTAGTGTTCCTAATGGAACATCATATAGAGTAACATATGGGGGAGTCATTCTTAACACTAAACGTACATGTACAAATATGAAAGTGCGATGTTGACGAAACGCAAGACGCACAGTAAGCTCACTCAAGTCTTTAGGATTGAATAGTTGTGATCTCCACCCTGTTGTATGTGCTACAATATGGCACCGAGTGGCTCTCTCTACTAGCTTCTGTGCCTGTGAGCTGCTAAGCGGTATGCGTGGTCAAATACTATCCAGATAGAGAATACTCAACGATACTTTGCCAGAGTCATTCAAGGCCGAGGTAAAAAGGGGCACGGGTGGCCCAGTCGTCTAAGGCGACGCAATTCGCTGTGTAGAGTTGCGTCCCTTGGGCACGCCAGTGACCTATCATTGTGGGTTCGGATCCCGGTTCGCCCCGATAATGTTTCTAGGTTTGTCAGCACCATACTCGTGCTTGTGGGTTTCACAGAAGTGGTAAACGTCTGAGACCTGCATCACATCGGGCTTTCCTCCCACATTAAGCTGACACGCCGTGATATAACTGGACTACTGTTAAAAGCGGCGTTAAATCCACTCACTCATCTAGGAATGTGGACACTAACAAGATACATAGACAATGCAGGCTACTTCTCCCTGGAAGACTGTGTACAAACGCATGCTTCTCTGCTTGGAAACATATTACATGTGTAAACTTAGCCTTAGACGATGCTCATAATATCAAAACTGGCAATAGCATTTGTGGCACAACGATATTTACAGCTTGTAAAAATAACCTTACAAATGTCACATTGTACTTGATATTTCCTTGCAAAATAAAATGGAGAAGAATTGTATGTGATGCAATGTCCTTATATGATGAAGATCGGAAGAAACTCAGACTGTCATTGAGAGAGGATCTTGTCCAATACAGGTCAAATCCCTCAAATCTTAAACTACATGTGTTATGGAAACTAGCACTAACTTATCCTCATCTTTGGTATTGCATCCAATACTCTCTTAATACAGCTTCTATGCCCATTACATCAAGAGAATGTTCTTAATGTTGCAGACATGCCTTGATTATGACAGATCTCTGCTTTAACACTGTTACTATTTTATAAATGATCGAAACGAATTCTTCTCCACCCTACTTGACAAACTGGATGTTGAAAGTTATGTTTAAATTGAACTTCTGGAAGAGAATGATGTGCTCGCACTATTCTCTGGCTTGTAAAATTACCACGTGGAATAATGAACCACCGTACTTGGGAAGCATATCATTAATATTCTGTCAATATATCTTAAAGTTGAAAAATGTATTAGATTATACCCAATTTACATCTGCTGTATCGGACTAGTTCTCGCTTGTGCAGGTAGTTGATGAATATATATTCATATATCTTCTGTAAATACTAGCCCCATGCATTGGCTCCGAGAATATCAGAGATATTGCAAATCTTCGGATGTAAATTCTGGAGGAAATAAAGATTTCATTCATTCATTCATTCGTTCGTTCGTTCGTTCGTCCGTTCGTTCGTTCGTTCGTTCATTCATTTATTCATTCATCTTATGGAATAGCTGGTTTTCGCGTCCGTAGTTAACGCGCTTGCACATCGTTCATTGTTCATTCGTCAGTGATCTTTGCTTGTGACAATTGGAGTCCATCCACTTTAGATTGTCTCTCGTTGACTATATACATCTGATAAATAATAAAACTGTGATCTTTTACCAAGTCGTCTATTATTTCTTTATTTATATAGTAGTTAAAAACCGGCCATCTGGTTTAAGGAGGTGGGGACAAACAATTATCTATTCCAGAAAATATTATGCAGAAGCGTCTTCCTTTAGTTAAACGAAAGAAAATGTTCCACTGATTTTCTGAAAATGAAATTCTCCAGCTTTTGCAGGGTAAAAACTGTACCTGTTGTTCAGCGTACGGCATTTAGCAACATACTGCAGTCGAACAAAACAACCGCTGTTGCTCTTCCTCTGAGCAACTGAGGCAAATCTGGGGTTCGAACCCGCGAATAGCAGATCCTGTTAGTAAAACAACTTAAACAACCGGGTCAACGGTGCTCACTTTGTTCTTTGTTCATACATTATTAACGGATAACGTATTAACGATATAGAGCTATGTGCACATACACGGATATAGTCTACTATAATAGTTTACTATTAGAGTCAATAACAAAGGAACGAAACAAAATGGAAACGACAAATACCATTTCCAGCATCCTCAATAGTCTAGAGTATGAAATCTCAGTTCCATTTCGTTTCGGAAGTGACGTCACCGCCACGACTGCTCCTATATCTAACTAAGCACAGATTTATTTGATTGGACGGCTGTCTTTTGTTCTCGTCAATTTAGGCAAGTAAATAGTAGGTGACGTGAGGTAAAGTGGGATTTATTTGGCGTCAGGTAATCGAATCCAACCTTGCGCTCTCCGCAGACACTCAATCCACCAAACCTCAGAGACGGAGGTCACGGAATCCCACACGATACAAGCATGCTGAGGACAATTTTGGCCACGGTTTCCATCCTGGAGACAAGAACGTGGTGCTGTTGACCTATTCTGCCACGGAATCACACTGGATACAAGAATGCGGTACTGGGGACATATTTGGCCACGGTATCCATCCTAGAGACACGAATGCGGCGCTAGGGACCTATTTTGCCATGGAATTCCTATGCGGAAACGAGCATTAGGTGGGGTCCTATTTTCTCACGCAATCCCTACGAACTATTATTGAAAGGGAATCCCCATGGGGATATAAGAATGATGTGAGGTCATATTTTGTAACGGAATCCCTTCGAGGAGACATGCATGCAGTGCTGGGAACCTATTTTGTAACGGAATCCGTACAAGGAGACAAGCATGAGGTGGGGTCCTGTTTTGTCATGGAATCTCTACTAGGAGACAAGCATGAGGTTCGGTACTATTTTGTCCGGGAATCTCTTCGAGAAGACAAGCATGCGGTGGGATCCTATTTTGTCATTCAAACTCTACGAGGAGACATGCATGCAGTGCTGGGAACCTATTTTGCCACAGAATCCGTACAGGGAGACAAGCATGAGGTGGGGTACTATTTTGTCCGGGAATCTCTACGAGGAGTTATGCATGCTGTGCTGGGAACCTATTTTGCCACGGAATCCGTACACGGAGACAAGCTTGAGGTGGGGTCCTGTTTCGTCATTCAAACTCTATAAGGAGACATGCATGCAGTGCTGGTGATCTATTTTGTCACGGAATCTCTACGAGCTGACATGCATGCTGTGCTGGGAACCAAGTTTGTCAGGAAATCCCTACGAGGAGACAAGCATGAGGTTGGGTCCTAATTTTCCACGAAATCGCTTCGAGGAGACGAACTCGGGTGCTGGGGACATAATCCGCCACGGAATGTTCATAGGGCTTTAATAAATACCTCAATATCTCTGAATGAACATGATAAACGGGTAACACGTAAAAATGTTGCATAGAAAAGATAATATCACTTGATAACAAGGATTTATAGGTCACATAGGGAAATGTAATATAAAATAAGGAAAACGTATAACGTGGAAAACTGATAACAGAATACGAGGAAAACACACGTCCTACAGAAGGTGAAAAAACAAGTCAAACGTCATTGGTTGATCATATGTTTGATAACCATATTTGGTATAATTTATATTGGTAATAAATATGTTGTAGTAGTCAGTATATACACACGACAGGACAGCCAGGAGTGGAGCTGACATCCAGAAGTTATACGTGAGTAACATTGTTACTCCTCTATCGGCAATGTTACTGCTATATCACAGTTGTCTGAAGATCAGTCAGTCTTGGTCTCGGATTAATACAGTTTGCACATCGGTTTTCCGATTCATACCTCGATGAACCGAAAAAAATACACCGTCAATCCTTAAAAAGACTTGATTATACTTACCACCGTCAACATTTCATTTAGGAATTCGAATGTAAACATGATGTTGTGGTTCTCTATTCATTCTCTATTCTATTGCTATGGTGGTACGTTGATTTATATTACAACAATCTATTGTTATATAGTGCTTGAATTCATACTTCTATTATGGAAATGTTCTTCATATTATTATATATCATCAGGGCTCCAAGCTGAAAGGCTGTATAGCCATATTGTAATCGTTCGATTTATTATTATTATTATCCTTATAAAGTATTATCTATTATTCCGCCGAGTTTTTGTACCAGACCTAGCAAAAATAACCACTGGTTCGATTTTTTCAAATTTCGCATGTGTATGTAGACGATGAATACTAGTGCCCGCCAAAATCCCAAGGTCGTAGGCCCAATGACCAAGGGTAGATAACGGAAAAACAAGTACTTTTGAGGATATCTTTCGCCCTATTGCTCCTCAACCGCTTGTTCGATTACTTTCAAACCTTGCATGTATCTTCTGCTTGAGTTGCTTGACATGTTTTGTTCTTTGACTTTGGTCATTGGTCACGTGATTTGCAGCCGTATTAGATTCACATTTTTCACAGTGTCTTCAAACAACTCCGAGTCCACGGAATGAAATGCTTTCAAACTTTCTGAGAATTGTCTCTATACATAACACATCAAACCTTGTTAGCCGATTTTGGATATCTTTTTGAGTTATTGGATTTTTTATTTTGTTTATTTTTTACCCGAATTTTACTTTAAAGATCATATCTTGTAAGGTTCTCCACAGAACTATTGAAAGGTAGCAAATTTCGTAGCTGTGACGTCCTGCAAACGAAGTTTGACGGCGTTGGTACAAGCAAACCCTTTGATGATTCAAACATGAGGATTCGAGGTCGAGGATTGGTTTAGAACACCCTTGGACACCCCGGCATATGCAAATGTCGTAACGGCGATGTCCGCAAACGGTGCTTACATTTCATAGCGTTAGCACAAGCAAGCCCGATGAGGATTCGAACATGGACATTTGTGCGCAGTGTTACTTGGAGCCCGCCATTGCTGCATGATGATGATGATGATTATCAGAAGGGTTAGTTTGGTTTTGACGAAAGTTTTTAAATGAAATGAGATCTAGTTAATCTGGACATGTTTTAACCAGTCGCCTGTCACAATCTGTGTTTCGTAATGTAAAAGAGTTAAAATTGTTCAGGGGAAATATATCGCCTTTCGTTAAAGTAAACCGGCCTATGTGTTGTTGAGCGATTACCTCTTTCAGCTATAGGCGTAGTATCGAGCTTTATCACGCACTGACCTTGCAATGCTGTACATCGTTTCTTTTTCAAGCTGCATCACTGAGAGTGAGTGCATATGTATCGTGCACTCAGTCGTTCTCCTTTCACACTGTTATTGCAACTTATTGTTCAACACGATTATATACCAGGTTTCTATAACTTATGACTTTGTTCAATAGACATCACATGTAAAACAACGTGTTTGATACTAGAAATCTGTAATTAGTTGTCTTCATAATCACATGTATGGCGCTTGCTGTGCATGGTTGAGCACAGTATTGTTTCAAGTAGTTCACTGTGTGTAATGTGTGATGATTCATTCCGGTTCAATCGGCTTACGGCACTGCATGGATTATTGTTTTAACAGTTTTTCTTAACTTCCGGCAGAGATTATAAACTCGTATATGTTCTTTGTTTTTGGACACATAGGCAATCAATAGGTTTGTCTGTAGTTTGCAATTATTTTCCAAAAGGATAATACGGTTGCATGATGTAGTCACATTCTTCTAAACATATTTCAAATCTAAACACAAACCCAGTTAAACAAAACGGAACCGTACACAAGAGTAATGAGTGAGTGAGTAAGTTGGGTTTAACACAGCTTTGCATAGCGGGTTGCGGCCACTTAGGCGATTGGGTCAACCGTGCTCCCGTACAAAACTGTAACAAACTATCATACAACAAAGATGTTTTAGATGAGATTTGTATTGCTTAACATTCCATGAAGAAACAGTGGCACTATTCCACTATCACATCCTACAAAATATAGGTAGAATAAGTGCAAAACATACAGGTACATTCAACATACAAAGGAGGTACATTATAACAATTTTATTTTAAAACAATTGTATTGTAGTGATATGGAAACAATGTGAGAATTGAACAACACTATTGTTATGTTGTACATACAAGGAATTTGTTTATAATTATAGATATGATAACAGATCTTGAAAATTGTTTCTGGATAACTGTTTTTAAAAAATATTAAGAATGGTTCTTTTTAACAGAGTGTACCAAATTCCTTATAATGATTGAGGATTATTTGTGATTCTCTTCTTGGTTATATTTTATACAAGACAGTGCATAGTGTTGCTCATTTTCTAAGACATCACATGTTTCACATGTTGTTCCAATGGGGTTGGTGTTTTTTTATGTCCACCAGTTTCAATTTTTAGTTGATAAAAGTGACCTATGTACTTTGTTTTAAAATATGTTAGATAATTCTTAATATCTATAGATGTCTTGACCTACATGTATGTTCTTAACTTGCTTTTGGGTAAATAGGAATCCCTTAATGAATGCGTGAACATATTTTTACATTTGGACTGAATTTTTTCCACCGTGATATTGTTTGAATATTGCTAAAAGCGGCGTAAAACCATACTCACACACTTTTTCCTCTGCGTATGACATTATATGGCGGGGAACAATTGATGCACTGCAGCAATCTCTACTTGATATTTACCGGTTTAAAAAAGGGCAGCAAAGAGGGTTTGGGTGATCCTGGCACAGTCAGGTTGGTTAGGCTCATCGTCAGCTCAGGGCCCTTGCCCCTTCCACACGCAGCCCAGACATCGAATAGGACTTCTCCCAAGAAAGCGGTACCAAACTTAAGGCACCAAGAACAATGAGGACAACTTGGTACTTGGAATGAACGCGTGACATTTCAAAATCGAGGTCTGCAATATTTGCCATGTTTTTCCTGAATCTTGCCAATCACATTAGTGTCAAAAGGAACAATAAATTCAGGAATAGAAATGATTTAATTTGATTTATTAAAAAGGACAAGAACAGGTTTGTTAGTCTGGATACGCCTTAGGCTGTATGTGGGCCTATTTCAAAGAATTTTGTATTTATCATTTACCATGACGCCCTCTACATATTCTTGGTCGTACCACAGATGGACCTTTGTGTCAAAAAACACAAGCATGGAGAAGACGGCAATAAAGTGATCGCGCCACTTCATCATGTCGTTTATGATACTGTGTTTGTGCTAAGGCTGAGCATCCATTGACAATGTGTTGGACAGCTTCATTAAATTCATTGCATAATCTACGGTGGCCCATAAGGGACATGGAGTCTGTTTTTCAATATTTTGATATTTCACTTACTGTTATCGTAACCTTTTGCAAATTAACACGATTTGTCATACACATATGTGATAAATCATGTATAATGAAGATATTGAATCGCTGAAAAGTGAAGCGAAAATGTGAAAACTAAAAAATGAAAATGTCAATAACAAAAACGAAAATGTCAAAAACTAAAATGAAAATGCCAAAAACTAAAATTAAAATACAGAAAACTATTAACACCGCGGTGATAATATTTATGCCGCAGTGGAAATAGTTTTCTGTACTTTCATTTTAGTTTTTGACATTTTCGCTTCACATTTCAACATTCAATAGCTACTTAAAAGTACTTTTTCCATGTTTTCGGTTGTTTTTTTACATGATCTATCACATATTTGTATGACAAATTGTGTTAATTTGCAAAAGGTTCCGATGTGTGTTAGTGAAATATCAAAATATTGAAAAACAGATTCCATGTCCTTTATGGGCCACCGTACATAATCTACATTTCATATTTACATTTTGATGCAAAATCCCACATTGAAAGATTCGTGTGTGAAGTGACGGGTCTTGAGCAGCAAACAGAAAGCCTTCTGTTTCATTTTTCAGGCCAGGCGACTTTATCCAAGCGAAGGACTCTGCAGGGTTGCTGATTTTCTCAACAGACAACACATAAACGCGATGCAGTGGTCGTTCAAATAGCCTGTCCCTGAAAAAAGTCTTGGCCGATTTGATATGGCACTTCGCTTGGTTGACACTCATTTCTGTACTGTCCAGCAGTACAGAAACATCAACATAATTAACATTGGCATTGATATTATGTCCCACATCCTTGGCTCGTTTAAGAAAACTGTGGAATGCCTTGTTTTCACAATGAGTCTTGACATGCTTTACATGAGAATCATCAGACAAATAAACGTGTACAGAAGTGCACAATACAATTCTATCACGAAAAGCCTACACATTAATTAAACCATGTCCATTATAATTGGTAAATATGAGCTATTGAACTAAGAGCGGGGGTGGTGGGATCTGTTGTCTGACGTGATTCTTCGTGTGAATACCCTGACAGGATTATTTTTTATGTAGATACTATTTCATTTATTTCAAACAAAATCCATCTTTTTTCTCAGTTGAATACACATCATGTAAGTTTTGCCAATTGCCGAATCCTTTATGTCAAAGAACATATCATGGAATTGGATAAGACTTCTGTCCTACCCAACACACCCGAGGTTTATCTGTCCTACTCAACACACCCGAGGTCTATCTGTCCTACCCAACACATACGAGGTGTATCTGTCCTACCAAACACACCCGAGGTGTATCTGTCCTACCCAACACACCCGAGGTGTATCTGTCCTACCCAAAACACCCGAGGTGTATCTGTCCTACCCAAAACACCCGAGGTGTATCTGTCCTACCCAACACACCCGAGATGTATCTGTCCTACCCAACACATCCGAGGTGTCTCTGTCCTACCCAACACACCCGAGGTCTATCTGTCCTACCCAAAACACCCGAGGTGTATCTGTCCTACCCAACACACCCGAGGTGTCTCTGTCCTCCCAAACACACCCGAGGTGTATCTGTCCTACCCAACACATACGAGGTGTATCTGTCCTACCCAACACATACGAGGTGTATCTGTCCTACCCAACACACACGAGGTCTATCTGTCCTACCCAACACACCCGAGGTGTATCTGTCCTACCCAACACACACGAGGTCTTTCTGTCCTAACCAACACACCCGAGGTGTATCTGTCCCACCCAACACACCCGAGGTCTTTCTACACGCATCAAGACCTCGTTCTCTCACCTTAACCTTTACTACGTAACGGCTGTCTGTTGAGAAATATACTCGTGTGTGGACCAGACAAACCAGTGATTAGTATTTTTATCATGAGCAAACATTCACGCAGTCGGAGTACAACGACACGTTGTGTTTTCAACCATGTCACCGATGTCGCCTGTTTTGACAAGTATAGGTTACTGGGGACCAATTCTAACACAGAATACCGCCGGGATGCGAAGTCAACAAACGTTGCAAATGCTTCGATTAAGCTGAGCGTCTTGGTAGGATTTGTCGTTTGTATTCTCGGGAAGACCTTAAAAGTTGATCGCTGAAATGTTCATGGTGCCTACGATTAAATATCCAAACATTACACTGCATTTGTGTCCGGCAACCGTGCCAAACAGGAATAGTACCGCCGCTGTCAATGCTGATGGTGGTCATACCTGATGCTGACTTGTGAACTGACAATTGCCCCATGCCCCTTTCAGTCTGAGATGACGTTGAGTGAGTATGGTTTTACGCCGCTTTTAGCAATATCCCAGCAATATCAGGGCGGGGGACACCAGAAATGGGCTTCATACATTGTACCCATGTCGGGAATCGAACCCGGGTCTTCGGCGTGGCGAGCAAACGCTTTAACCACTAGGCTACCCGACCGCCCCTGAGATGACGTTGGGAGAGGACATGTGTGGACACTGTCATGATGACTTCATGTTTCATGGACATCAATATATTGTCCTCTTGCTATTTCAATCTGTGTTTGCCCTTTTTTTCTGTGATATGAAACCTCTAGTATTATGAACAAGTAAACTGAGTGAGTTGGGTTACACGCCGCTTTGAAGAGTATTCCAATTACAACACGGCGTAATTAATTAATATGTCTGAAAGCCCGAAGTGAATGCAGGCTTCAGACGTTTACCACTTTGGTGAAAACCAAGAGAACTGGCATGGTATGGTGCTGACAACATAATCTGGGCGACCCGGGATTCGAAGCCACAATCATAGGTTTCTGGCGAGCCCAAGGGACGCAACTCTGCCACCCGTGCCCCCTTATTATCCCAAAGCATTCGGCGTTGATTATACTATCCATAATGTTATAATGTATGCATATTAACTTATTACATCAATGTTTGCTTCTTGTTCAACATGTTCAACCCTGCTCGGAGCACATATTCCATCTAAATGACGACGACCTGTACCGAGTATGGACCAGACAATCCAGTGATTGATGTGATGTCATATATAACCCAATTAGCGTTTGTGCGCAATCAAACTTTATGATGTAAAGTGAAACCTTGTTAATCAGGATTACCTTCCCGGTGAAATCGTCCGGACTTACACATTTCCGGGTTAATAAATCTGGGGTATGAAGTAATGATATACCCTCCCAGGAGTAATCATAAAAAAACCGCAGTTTCCGAATAAAAGGGTTCTTGATTAACGGTGTTTCACTGTATACCAATCAAGCAGTTAACTATTACCTTCATTTTACAGAGGTAGACACAAGGCACAAAGTACATCTTACAACTTGAGACAGTGTAGAAAAGTTTTATTTTCAGCGAAATAATTAGAGTGAAATACATGATACAGTACTTGAACGCAAAATTGAAGATTTACTTTCTCACTGACGTTGGAAGTGGGTGTCGTTAGTTTTAATTAAATTTGATATTTTAAATATCCTTTCCAGAGACTTCCTATCTCCAACGAAATGTCAACAACCGAAGGTGAAGCTCAGGGGGAAGATGAGACTCGGGCTCTGCTTCAAGAGTCAGACCCTGATCAACCTCAAGTTCCTATCTCCAACGAAATGGTAGCTGAGACTCAAGCTGAAGTTCAAGCTGAAGCTCAATGTTCAGGGACGGTCATTACAGCATATAGAGAGTTGTTAACGGAGCTTAGAATTCGCAGCATGATAGGGTCTTATATGATGTACGACCAGGCAGACAAATACGGTAACTGGGCGTTCTGGTTGCTTATAGCAACTAGTGTACTAATGGGCCTGGCTGCAGGAGGTTTATCCCAGTACATCCCTATAGGGAAGGGAAGGATCCCTTTTATATCTAAGATGACCATAGGATTTATCACTACCACAAGCGGCACCTTCAAAGCTGGCAGCATGTTTCTTTATAAAAAGTTTGAGGAGAAGCAGGAGCTCTTCAACAAGACAGGCGCCGGATGGCAGGAACTAGAGTTAAACATCCGTCACTTCCTTGCTACTACTGAGGACACAGACAACAGAGATAAGTACGAACAATTCACAAAGGAGTGTATAAAACAACGGGGAGATATATGCCGTCTGTCAAAACCAGAGAGGGGCATCTACAAAAAGTTCAATGAAGGTTTTCCCAGTATCGTAGTGAAGCGATATAATAACAAGAGAGATGTCGTCGCACATATTCGAGCTGAACTTGAAGAGTCGGATTCCTCCTCCGAAGAACCTGGAGATAACTGATGTTACTCTATTTAACCTGCCACATTTTTGCAGCAAATGCTTTCCCCACTGTTTTTTAAAACTACTTTATGCTTTGAAGGCAACTTGATGTACCAACACGTCAGTAAGACAAGAGTAAATCTCAATCTTTTTGTTTCTTTTTTATTCGCATATTATCTGTGACGGCATGTTGTGTGTCCTTAATGTAATATGTTCCAGACATAAGAATGATAGATATTAAAGCTGGGTAATACCAAGCCACTCTATCCAAATTTTTCGCCTCTTACGGCAAGCAGCAGTGTGATGTGGTCTAATGCTAACCCGGAATATTATGAATTTGAGTCAAAGGCTAATAACAAACTAAAATAGAACTGTGAGTACCATTCTCCACAAGATTGTATGCCAGGGGTGGGGGTGGGTAGCTTCAACTTTCCAATATTTAACATTCCCTTTATGTCGAGCAATATTCAATCAGTTACAGCCTTTGGTGTCTACATTTCACACCTTTTTAAGGTATAATAGAACATGCTCTTTCTACGAAGCTTTCAACGACGGAAGACATTTCAAAACTTGACGCATCAGTGACCACAAGGATGTTCCATGCAATTCACTATATTGACTTGTACCATATGTTCCATGTATTGTTTGTTTATCAGTAAACAATTAACTTGCATTTGCATGTATTTGTGACGAGTGCAGTCGGTTGGGTAGAACATGTTCACCTAGTATCAGCACTATTTGATAGTGATTAATAAACTATAAAAGTCAAAGCCAGGGAATAATCAGTCTCAATTACCCGCAGATTTCTTTGAGCACAAAAGGCATAATAGGGGCGATTAAATTATGTGAATAGATCACTGAAAATAAATGACACCATGTGTTCGCGAAAAAAAGTAGGCATGTCCTGCTCTACCGATATCACCCGACACTCACCTAATTTAAATTAAACAAGTAAGTGAAACAATTTACCGTTCTATTGGATGACGTTGGGGTCACATAGAGAGCCTAGTAGTCGGGTGGTTAAAGCTAAAAGCAAAGGTTGGATTATCAACTTAAGTACAACGTGTGAAGCCCAATTCTGGTGTCACCCGTTTTAGTTTTGCTGGAAAATTGCTAACAGTGGCATAAAACAACACTCAATCACCAAGTGTTCGCTCAAAAGGGTTAACATATCCTGCCGTAGTGGTAGCATCCCCCACTCACACAGTTTGCATAAAAAAAGTAAAAACAGTGAAAACATACTCATGATATAGTCAGAATCACACACTGGACTATGCTACTAGCAAAGATTTCTTATGAATATGGAAATGGTTTTGTCGCTTTTATGTATGTAGTTATCTTTTATTATAAACCTGACATTTTCATTGTTGTATCGATCACAAATGCTTTTTAACGTTTAATGTTACTTTTTAAACATGTAATATAATTGAACTATTGTTAAAGTGAGCGCTGATTCCACCAACAATGTCATTTAGATCATTTAGATAGATCATATAGATTATGTATTTTCATTAAGTATGCAAACATGGTGTGGGTTATTTATTATTGATGTACGTCCTGAAAAAGCTGACTGTCGCTTTCTGATTCTGAATGTTAACAATTTATAAGATGGAAATGGATCGAACATAAGTTTTGCAATTTGTCTACACAACGTCCTGCATTATTGAATATATTTTGTGCGTAGTGCTTATCTTAATATTTATTTGCTTTATAATATACTTGTGGTTATTTAATATGCTTGGAAATAAAATCAATTAAATAGCAATATTCCATCGTCTTGTTTCCCAAATGTAGATACTATTTCATTTATTTCAAAGATAATCCATCTTTTTTTCTGAGTTGAATACACACCGTGTAAGTTTTCGGAATTGCCTAATCTTTTATGTGAAAGAACTCGGTCTCATATCATAGAATTGGAAAGAAATTTTTCGCCATTTTGGAGTGAGATTGTATGGTATTGTATCTTAAAATTATGTCAAAGATGCTTATGGCACATGAGGTTCTGTGGTTTGCTTGCTTGTTTGTTTGTTTGTTGTTTAACGCCGCACTCAGCAATATTCCAGCTATATGACGGCGGTCTGTAAATAATCGAGTCTGGACCAGATAGTCCAGTGATTGACATCATGAGCATCCATCCACGCAATTGGGATACAATGACATGCATCAACCAAGTCAGCGAGCCTGACCACCCGACCCCGTTAGTCGCCTCTTACGACAAGCATAGTCGCCTTTTACGGCAAGCATGGTTTGCTGAAGACTTATTCTACCCCGGATCTTCGCAGGTTGAGTTTTTATGACGTCCGCATAACCACAAATGACTCCGACAGGGAGACAAGCATGCACTACTTGGGAAACATTTTGCCACTTACTTCTACAGGGAGACAAGCATGCACTACTTGAGAAACATTTTGCCACTTACTTCTTCAGGGAGACAAGCATGCAGTACTGGTAACATATTTTGCTACTTTCTTCTACAGGGAGACAAGCATGAAGTACTGGTGACATATTTTGCCACTTACTTCTACCTGGAGACAAGCATGCAGTACTGGGGACATATTTTGCCACGGGTTCCCACAGGGAGACAAGCATGCAGCACTGGTGACATATTTTGCCACTTTCCTCTACAGGGAGACAAGCATGCAGTACTGGGGACATATTTTGCCACGGCTTCCCACATTGAGACAAGCATGCAGTACTGGGGACATATTTTGCCACTTACTTCTACAGGGAGACACGCCTGCATTACTGGGGACATATTTTGCCACGGGTTCCCACAGTGATACAAGCATGCAGTACTGGTAACATATTTTGCCACGGCTTCCCACAGTGATACAAGCATGCACTACTGGTGACATATTTTGCCACGGTCTCCCACAGTGAGACAAGCATGCAGTACTGGTAACATATTTTGCCACTTACTTCTACAGGGAGACAAGCATGCAGTACTGGGGACATATTTTGCCACGGGTTCCCACAGTGAGATAAGCATGCAGTACTGAGGACATATTTTGCCACTCACTTCTACAGGGAGACACGCCTGCAGTCCTCGGGACATATTTTGCCACGGCTTCCAAAAGTGATACAAGCATGCACTACTGGTGACACATTTTGCCACGGCCTCCCACAGTGAGACAAGCATACAGTACTGGTAACATATTTTGCCATTTACTTCTACAGGGAGACAAGCATGCAGTACTGGGGACATATTTTGCCACGGGTTCCCACAGTGATACAAGCATGCAGTACTGGGGACATATTTTGCCACTCATTTCTACAGGGAGACACGCCTGCAGTCCTCGGGACATATTTTGCCACGGCTTCCAAAAGTGATACAAGCATGCACTACTGGTGACATATTTTGCCACTTTCTTCTACAGGGGAAGCATGCAGTACTGGGGACATATTTTGCCACGGCTTCCCACAGTGATACAAGCATGCAGTACTGGGGACATATTTTGCCACTTTCTTCTACAGGGAGACACGCCTGCAGTACTACACTATGTAAACTACCGTTAGGTTGATACCGTTTACTGTTACTCAACGAAACATCGACATCCATACCGACCGCCACCGCATTCTAGTGGTAGAGTGTCCGCCCGGAGAGCGGAACATGTAGGTGGTTCAATCCCCGGCCGCGTCATATCAAAAGACGTTAAAAGATAATACTTGTTGTTACCCTGCCTGACTCTCGGCATTAAGGGGCTAAAACAAGGACTGTTCGGCTCGGAGTCGTGTCTGGGAGGGGTATTCATGTTAACATGGTATCTCAGTGGTCTAGCACTATAAAATCGGCATTACTCCGGACTGGTAGAAGCAGCCACTACCATTTCTAAACTTAATCAACACAACATCGAACAAAAGTTTACGAAAGTTTATAAGTGAATGTATACAGGAACGGCACAATATATGCTCGAAGTCAAAACCAGATGGAGATACTTATGAGAAATATCATGATCGACGCCATCTAACGATCAACAAGTATCGGAAAAAGCAGTTACTCATTGCGCACATAGGACAAAGACTTGATTATGAGGAGGAAGAAGATACTGAACTGGTTTGTTCGGCTTGTTTACCAGTCTCCATTCGTAAACTTCTTCTTGTTGTTGTTCTTCTTCTTATTATTCTTATTATTCTAAGTTTCTGATTAGTGGGATGTGTAATCAATGTTATTATCGTGATAGGGATCAATAAGCACTACGATCACATAATGGATAGTGTTATACAGGCAATAAACCAATTCGTGGTATCACGATCCGATAAACATGCAAATGAGTTCACCAAGCAGGAACTAGTTTTAGTAAGCTCTGTACACCGATGTGGTATTTACTTCCTCAAAAACCTTTTCACAACTTTCCTTGAACCATTTGATAGCAGTTTCCTGTTCGGTGTGTATTGTCATAATCTCTATGTATTTATCATTTATTTGAAGTATTTCATTAAAATACCACGTACATATCGGATTTCGAAAAAAGCATGGTGCCGTAATGTTTGTCTATTCAGCCTTCCTGGACAATGAAAAGGACTTTGATAGTATTAGCCATGCTGGTCTGTTTGTAAAAAAACCTGTATAACGTAGGCATTCAGAGGAAGAAACGGCTCTTCTCTATCAAAGTTACAACAACAGTTGTAGTGCATACATGTACGTCAACTACTGTGGTGAAACATCACATACTTTTCATGTTGAGCAGGGTGTCAGGCAAGGACCCATACTTTATTCGTGACTCTTTCTGTTTATATTAATGATCTGGCTTATGAACTAAGAGGAAAGGACTGTGGTATATTTGTATATGGACTACATTTCAGTTATGCTCCCTGGTGAGACTATATTAGTCAACGCAATACCCGCAAATCGCTCTTAACACTGTTACACAGTTTGTATATGACTGGAGATTTACTTACAATGCAACTAATAGCCAAATCGTTATATTCAGTAGATTGAATTCCCAACATGATACCTTCCCATTTCATCTTGGTAGTGTTCCTAATGGAACATTAGATAGAGTAACATATGGGGGGTGTCATTTTAACACTGAACTGACATGTACAAATATGATAGTGCGATGTTGCCGAAACGCAAGACGCACAGTAAGCACA